AGGGGGACGCCTCCCCGTGCCATGCACGTCCCGTGCCGCAGCTCCTGCAGAGCACTTGCTAGCAGCAAGGCAGCACCGCTCCCCATAAGGCCTCTCTTCTCGCCCCTCTCCCCAGGGGTCGACTTCAAGATGAAGACCATAGAAGTGGATGGTATCAAAGTGCGAATACAGATCTGGTGAGTGCTGAAGCCGAGGGCCGCAGGGTGCGGTGATCCAGGGCCGGGACCCCGCTGAAGCTCACCAGCTGAGGTCCTGCTGGGCCAGTACTTTGTTTCAAGACCTCTACAGAACATGTGGCTGCTGCCGCGAGGGGTGACAGTCAGTAGGGGGTGCTCTTCTCTCCCAGTGCCCCTGGGGTGGTTACAGATACCCTGGCAATCTCTGCAAGAGCAGGCGTGTTGGTCTGGGTTTCCTGGCCCAATTTCATCGCGGGTGTGTCTTCCTGAATCCCGCTGCCCAGTCTCCATCAGTTGCAGCATTCCAGTTCGCTTCCCATCCTAGGCTGTCCTGTAGTGTTCAGCTGCCATGTCCCTCCGCAGAGGTGGCAGCGTTGCAGTGGTGATGGAGGTTGTGTATGTAGCGTGTGAACTGCTCTGGGACCGAAGGTGCCACCGTAGGCAGAAGTCTCTCATTTGGGCAGTGGGGGCCGCGGATGAACTGCGGCAGCTGGGGCTAGGAAAGTTCCACCACCACAGATCGGCTGCTGCAGGCTTGTCGTGGGCCGCACACCCTCCCGCTGCTGGCCAGTGCTGGAAGCAGGCTGCAAAACTGGGTGGGCCATTGGCCTCAGCCCGCCGTGCCCATGCAGCTGCTTTAAAGGGCCTGGCGCCGAGCTGCAGGCCCCAGCGTACCAGCCAGATGGAGGGCAGCAATCCGGTCCCAGGGCACAATCTGTGCTGTCTCTGTAGAGCGCTGGGGTCGCAGCCCTCCCCGCCCTCCTGCCGACAGGCCCTGCCAGGTCACAGAGAGGGGCTGGGGAAGGACAGAGCCAGAGATGGGAGCTGCTGGCCTGGCTGCAGCGCTCCCTGGTAGAGGCGGCAGTGGCCACAGCTGTGCC